ATACTACAGGCTAATCATTCATCATGGATGACCCATTCAAATAAACGGCTTGCCAGGTTTACCTGTGCAGAGTTCTTGTCATAACTCATCTCCAGCCACACAGCGACTTCTGTGTGCAAGCTTTGAGAGGACAATGAAGGGGCAGTAGCAGCCCCTCAAGCACTTTCAGGTCCATCCTGGAGAATGCAGCACTCCTTCCTAGTGCCACGGATAAGGGAGTGCCTCCGTGCTCATTTCCCTCCCCTTGTAGAAAACCACATGACATCGTTGGTTTATACACTATTAATTGATTATGTTAGTGAGTGTAGGAATTCTGTAGAATTAGATAACGTCTGGACTATGGCACAGTTTACATAAGCTAGTCTCTATGGTGATTTTTTTTTTTTTTCTTTGAGACAGGGTCTCTCTGTAGCCCCAGCTGTCCTGGAACTCACTATGTAGACCAGGTTGGCCTTGAACTCACAAAGATCTGCCTGCCTCTGCCTCCCAAGTGCCGGGATTAAGGCGTGTGCCACCACACCCGGCTCTATGGTGATTTTTTACATTTATCTATTTTATTTTTTGCTTTAAAATTTTTTTATCTATTTAATTAATTAATTAATTAATTTGTATGAGTGTTTTGTTGCCTGCATGTATGTAAGTGATCCACATGTGTGCAGTGCCTGTGGAGGTCAGAAGAGGCCCTTGGACTTAAGGAAGGTTGTTAGCTGCCATATTCATGCTGGGAACCGAACCTGGGTCCTCTGCAACAGCAGCCAGTTCTCTTAACCACTGAGCCATCTCTCCAGCCTCTTATTTTTATTTTTAAAATTTTGATTATTTTGTGTATGTAGTGTGTGTATGTGGGCACTTGTATGGAGGTCAGAAGACAACTTGTGGGAGTCAGTTCTCTCCTTCTACCATGGGTTCCAGGGATCAACCTCAGGTCATAAGGCTTGGTGGCAAGCACCCCTACCTGCTGAGCCCCCTCTACAGTCCTACAATGATTCTCTTGACCACTGTTTCTTCCAGATAACTTAAAAAAGTTACTATTTCTGGATTCTGCTCCTCAACAGGAAAGAGCTTGAATAAGTTAGTCACTTTCCCTGTGTCTTAGCCCACCTGGACTGGTCTACAAAAAAGTTACAGAGCAGAATAGGTGGCTTGCAAATAGCAGACATTTATTCCTCATCATTCTGGAGGCTGGAAGTCCAGCACCAAGACCTGGCAGATGCTGTGTTTGGTGATGGCCTGTTTTCTGGTTCAGAAGGTGTCACACTGTGTCCTCACAAGGTGAAAGTACAAGGGTTCCTTTGGACTCTTAACAAAGACATTAATCACATTCTTGAGGGCTTTTCCCCTGACTTAATCACCACCCAAGCCTCCACCTCCTAACATCATCATTTTGGGGATCAGAATCTCAATGTGTGAATTTTGAGGCAACACCAATGTTTAGATCTTAGTACCTTGACAATAAAAACATTAGATAATTTTACCTGTTTCTTCCAAAGAAAAGGCAGAGTTAGTTAGAAAATAACCAAAATTTGCATTTCTTGTGCAAATGTATCAAAAAACAAAATAAAAAAAACAAAAAACAAAAAAGGAGACAAAATGTATCAAACAATTCTTTGGTAACTTTTATAATTACTTTGAGAGCAGGTCTGTTGAGCATTCTTTTTAAAGTTATGGTCAATTAATGGAATAGATACTCATTTAAATAATGTTTAAAATACAAAAATAGGGGAAAATAATCACCATATAATGTAAAAGTTAAACCAAAATAAAATATGTTCACAGGATTTTTTATTTTTAGGTAAGGTCTCCAGCTGGCCTGGAACTTGTTGTGGAGACCAGGCTAGAGATTCGCCTGCCTCTGCCTCTAAAATACTAAGATTAATGGCATGTATCACCATGCCCAGCCCAACTTTAAAAAAAAATGCATTTGTTTATTTACTTATTTTTGTAAATTTTTAATTGAATTTTTGTGTTTCATAGAGAACATCTTAATCCTATTGATCATTTTTAAGGGACATTAGTTAACTAGAAGTAAGAACCTTGAAAAACTGATCAGATCAAATAGCCCACAAGATTCTTCCCCATTGCTTGTCCGTGTATTTATTTATTTAGCAAATATTACTGAGTGCCAACTGTATGCCACTTGGATCCATCAGTGAAAAGGACAGTAAAGAAACTGGGCCTCTGGAAAAGGAGTGGGCAGAAAGGCAGGGCAAGGCCAACAAATAGGCAGTGGACAGAGTAAATAAGGCAATATTGTGATCTTCTGTGGAAGCCGATCTAAGCAAGGGGAAGAAAAGGAACGTGGGACCCTAGTCAGTGAACCAGCAGCACCAGAGACATCCCAGGGAAAAAAACAACTTCCAGTTGCAGGCTGGAAAGAGTAGCCTCAATTGAGGAAAGACATGAAGGGCATGAGCGTGAGTCACTGGGGAATCATCAGATTGAGGATGCCCAGTCAGGAGTCTTGTGTGCTGGGTTATAGCACGAGGCTTTCAAGTGGCCAGGGTGTGGTAGGCAAAGGAGAAAGTCATCGGAAGAAAAATTCAGTATCAAGTGAAGCTGTTTGCTTCCTCCTTTAATTCCTCTTTGCTGCTTTATAGATTATGTATTCTTGTCTGCTACACAGGATCCTTCCCTGTGTCAGTGTTACCAGGCTGCTCAAGACACCTGATATCTTTTATATCTTTGGAAAAATGTAATTCAGACTTTTCATTAGCTACTATCCTTCAATCACATTGTGTCAATGAAATTATGCCACATTATTGCTTTCTATTTTGTTTTTGTTTTTTTTTTTTTAATTTTATTATTTTTATTTTATGTATATGAGTGTATTGCCTGCATGTATGTGAGTGCAACCGTGTCGTGCAATGCTGTGGAGGTCAGAAGAGGGTATTGGATTCTCCTGGAACTGGGGTTAAGGACGGTTCATAGCCGCCATGTGGGTGCTGGGAATCGAACCCGGGTCCTCTGCAAGAGCAGTCAGTGCTCTTAACCGCTGAGCCGTCTCTCCAGCCCCTCTATTTTGTTTTTTAAAAAATATTTTATTTTTTTATTTTATGTGTATGATTGTAGTGCCTGCATGCATGTAAGTGTACCCTTGTCATGCAATACCTGTGGAGGTCAGAAGAAGATGTCAGATTTCCCTGGAACTGGAGTTATGGACAGTTGTTAACTGCCATGTGGGTGCTGGAATCCATCCTGGGTCCTCTGTAAGAGCAGCCAGTTCTCTTAACCGTTGCGCCATCTCTCCAGTCCCTCCATTTTGGTTTTTTAAGTGAATCCATTGTCCAGAGTTTGAAACACATTGAACTATAGCATAAAGTCACACCACCACACCCACTGGCCAGTTTTCTCCAGGTCTCCTTTTTGCCATTGAGGTTATTTGTAGGTTTTCCGTGGCCTTGTTCTTGCATGCAGGGCCCGTCCCCTGCTCAGTGCATCTCACCCTGCTAGCCCAAGTAGGCCCCCTCTTGTGCTAACAAACCAGGGTGACAGTCCCAGTTAGCTGCAGCAACTTCCATGCCCCTTTAAGAAATGTCGAATATCTGCCTACTTAAGGGAGCCTTCAGGTGGCACTAGCAGAGCACCCTTGCCCCATGAAGAGTGTTAATGATTCCCCAGACCTGTGCCTGGAAGTCTGCTAAAAGCTTGCCCAGTCCTGGTGGGTATAAGTACAGTTTCCTCCAAAGCTCTCCACCAACCTCTTTCCTAAAGGTCCAATTTAAGAACACCCTCCCTGGGCGTGGCTCTTACTCTTGCACCAAATTCCTCACTCTTCTAATTAAAAGTCCAAAGGCTCACAGGCATAGCTGCTCAAGGGGACAGGCTCTTGCAGAATCAGTCAGACAGGAAACGTTGGTCCTCTGCAGGAGGTCCTCTGTTTGGTCCTCTGTTCTCAGTGTCCAGAGATACTTCCACCTGTGGTCAATTGTTCTATTTCTGAATGGTCACTTACAATGTCTCCTGATTCTACCAACTTTTGGTGTCCTTCCCTTCCCTTCCTTTCCCTCCCCTCCCCTGTCCTCCCCTTCTCTCTTTTCCTTTCCTTCCTCTTGTTTTATGTGTGGGCATGCCCACGTTCACATTCAGTCTGCTGAATAGTGAAAAATCCCATTCCCCAAATTCTTTGACCCTGACATACCTTGATGTATGTTATAATCATGGTCATATTTAATTCTCTGTACCTGAATTTCCTCATCTTTAAAATAGGATTTAAAAGTAACCCCTACCCCATATATGTATGTAAAGTCCTAGGCATACTATGGGGCATGTAAGTCCTTGGTGGGTATTAGCTGATATTACTATCTGAAGCTAGAAAAGAAATCTATCTTGAATATCCTTAATCACTTCACTCAGTTTTTACCCAAATGCTTCCAAATTGATTATAAGCTCTCGTCCTCCTACATGACTATTGGTTGTGACAACTTTCCAGCGGCCATAGCTTTGTTCCGTTGCTCCCTTTACCAGATTCGTTCCTTGCTGTGCAGAACTCTCCTTAGGTCTTTGAGAAAGCAGACTTCTTAGGAAGCAATTCATTCATTCATTTGCTCATTCATTCATTAATTCATTCAACAAATTTCACTGAGGATCTACTCTGCACCACACCCTGAGTAGATGCAGAGGACATCCTTGGAGCAAAGGGCAAAACAATTTAGGACTGTCGCCTGAAAGGCATTCAGTCAGGCGTAGCAAAATTCAGAGAGAGTCAAAGAACGTGGGTGCCTGTTACATCTCAGACCCTCCCTTCGCCCCCTCCGCCACACTCCTAAATCACTTGCTGATTTCTGGAGAAGGCTCTGGGTAAAGGAAATGAAGACAAGACGAGGCGGACTGCGATTCAGGAAGAAAGCATGCAAACACGCTCCAGAGTCCTGAGTCCGGTGAGTCAGGATGGTAGGAACACAGGCGGAGGCGCAGGTGGGTGTCCCCCACCCACCGAGGCTCCGTTGTTGGGGCGTGTCACTGCTGCGCCCAGGGCCGCCCCAGGCGGAGAGGGTGGGCGCGGCGCGTCCCGGGGCGAGGCCTATGGGCAGGGATGCTGCCCCGCCCCGGAGGGCCGCACCGCGCACTGGTACTTGAATGCAGAGCCGCCGCCCAGGCGTCCTGATCAGCGGTAGGAGCGGACACCCGGCGCACAGCAGGTGAGCTGCGCGGGGCACAGGGCGCGGCGGGGTCCTGGCGCTGCTCCGGCTCGGCTTGCGGGTGCGGGTGGCCTGGGCTCTGCAGCCCCACGAGGGGTGGCGGGCAGCGTTCGGGACACCGGTCCATAACCTTGGCTCTCCGGGGTGTGAGGGTGTGAGACTCGGGAAAAGTTAGCACCCTGCGTGTTGAATAAGCATCCTACGGGCGGTGGGATGTCTCTGGCACCTGGCTGGCCACAGGACCCGCTGCAGGGTTTTGGAAGCTCCCCAGGGTCCACGGTCTGTACTCAGAGTGAGCCCCAACTCTGGAGGGGCCACTTTGTCGTTGGCCCCAGGTAGATGTCGTTTCTAGTGTGGTTAGGAACCAGGTCCCCTCCTGGCATGCAAGGAGAGTGCCTAGGGGACTCTACAGGGCGCCTCTGGGCATCCCTGACTTGGCTGGTCATTTTGGGGTATCTGCTGAGCCTTCGGCTGGAGGCGTTCTTGCTGCGTGATGCCAGTGAGATCTACCAGGTCCAGCAGCGGAAGGGGCTGCAGCCGCTCACTGAATGCTGACCCCACAGAAAAAGGTACTGTCTCAGGCCAGAGTGGGTGTGTGCCCCGTTCAACAAAGACTAGCCCTAAGCTTTCGCAAGCCAAGTGACTCATGCCTGCCCAGTGGGGCTGATTTGGGCAATAAGCTCTCGGCTCTGGGCTGAGGAAGTCCTGGGTGTGGCAGTGTTTGTCCTGGTGTGCAGAGCCTTAGAGGTTTTTAAAAACTTGGATTTATTCTGCATTTTCAGTTGCTCAAGCAAAAACACTGAAAGAGCTTGCACTCAGAACAGCACTCAATGCCAGGGACTTGATGACACAGGGATTAGGGCTGTGACTTAGGTTTCAGGCTAACTCTCATAGGAAATGAGTGATTCCTAATCCAGGTGCTGGAATATTTGTAAAGTGACCCCTGGGAGTAGGGTTTCTGGACAATGAGGTCATCCAGACCTTGGTGACCCAGTATGTAGGATCCTGGGAAAGGAATGTAAACCAGGTTCAGTTAGTTCTGAAGAAAATGATAGTGATCACAGCATGAAAAACTAATCAACTTCCTCCAATGTGTTTGCTTCAAGTTTATAAGCCTCTTAAATTAAAAAAAAAAGTGTTTCCATAAAAAATGTTTTTGTTTTCTTCAGTGGGGAGGTCAGGGACAGGGTCTCACTGCAGCCCATGGTGGTCTGGAACTCACTCTGTAGCCCAGACTAGCTTCCGATTTGAGGCAATCCTCCTGGCTGAGTCTCCCAAGTGTTGGGATTATAAAAGTGAGATACCAGCAGTTTCCATAAAGACTAAAGTTTAATAACAAAAGCCTCACTTTTTTTTTTTTTGGCAAAAATTGTTTCTTTTCTGAGGGACTCAAGAACTAGAGAATAGAAAGTGGTTTGTAGTTTGTTTTAATGAGACAAGGTTCTTCCTATATGGTTGAGGCTGGTCTTAAACTTGTGATTTTCCAGGCATGTGTCATCATACCTAGCAATTGTCTCCCTTTTGGACACTGATGTTTTTGCTTTGTTTTTTGAGACAGGGCCTTGCAAAGTAGCCCTGGCTGGCCTGGTACTCAGTATGTAGCCCATACTGGGCTGATCTTGAACTCGTGGCATTCCTACTCACATACATGCAGGCAAAACACTCATACACATAAATAAAATAAATAAATGTCCTAGTTTGTTTCTCCATTGCTGTGACAAAACACTCTTGACCAATACCAACTTGGGGAGGAAAGGGTTTATTTAGCTTACATATCCTAGTTCATAGTTCATCCAGGAGCCAAGGTAGGAACTCAGGGCAGGAAGCTGGAGGCAGGATCTGGAGCACAGGCCTCGGAGGAATGCTGCTTACTAACTTGCTCCCTGGGCCCTGCTCAGCCTGCCTTCTTATGCAACACAAGCCCACCTGCTGAGGGGTGGCACCACCCACAGTGAGCTGGGCTCTCCCACATCACTCATCAAGAAGATGTCCCCCACACATGGCCACAGGCCAGTCTAATGGAGGCAATTCCCCAATTGGGCTCCCTCAACCCAGGTGTGTCAAGTTGACGCTAAAGCCATCTAACACAATGAATATGCACAGGTGCTTCTTTTTTAAAAAAATTTTTTTAATGAGACAGGGTCTCACTGTGCTGCCCTGGAACTAGTTATGTAGATCAGGGTGGTCTCAAACTCACAGAAACTCGCCTGCCTCTGTCTCCATAGTGTGCACAGGTGCTTTATAAAGGCTTTTCCCTTAGCTGGGTGTGGTGGTGAAGTACCTGTAATCCCAACAGTCGGGAGGCAGAAGCAGGAGGTTAAGTTTGAGGTCAGCATAGGCTACAGAGAGAATTCTAAGCCAACCTGGGCTACATAGTGAGACCCTGTCTCAAGATAAATACATAAAATAGACTTTTTACTTCTTGCTAGTGAGCTCAAGAGACCCATGTTAGTCTTATTTATAATTTAGGTACCTATTTCCCTGACTCTCAGTAGCCAGATACTAAGTCTTCATTGCAACAGACCTGTGTTCCAGCTCACTGTTGACTAAGGGTCATGAGTTCTCTCCTAACTTACTCAGCTTTTCCAGAAGGGAAAAACTGGTACCTGAGAACTGTGGAGTAATTTTACCTTCCTTGATGTGAGGAACCCAGATGAGAAAGAAACCCCGGGAAAGGACCTGTCTCCTCTCTCTAGCTCAGTGTCACTGACTCTGGCTTTGGGAAGTGGACTTTCCTCAAGCCTTGCCCTGTGTTTCTGTAGAGGCAGGAAGCAGAGTGCCTGGCCTGGACTCCTGGGAGAGGAGTGTGGAGAGGGCTCAGGATCATCAGCTGCTCTTTAAGAGCAGAAGTTCCAGAAGAGTTCCTGGGAACACAGAAACTAGGTGATTGGTAGATAGGCCCAGAAGGGGATGCTGTTGTGGCTAACTCTCTTTATTAAAGTGAAAGCTACCAGTAAACGGCTGATTAATATTCTGACTCATGTCTAACTTCCTTATTCAAAGCTACACTGAACTACTTCTGCTTGGTGTTCACAAACATAGAGACCCAAGCAGCATTCTCTATTTTTAAATTTATCTTTATTTTTTTTATTTTTATTTTTTCCTTTCTGGCTCTTTAGCACCAGGTTGGAGCTTATCTGTACCCTCTGGAGGGCAGGAAGATTTTTTTTTTTTTTTTTGTTTTTTTGAAGCAGGGTCTCCCTGTAGCCCCAGCTGTCCTGGAACTCCTTGTAGACCACGCTGGCCTTGAACTCACAGAGATCCCCCTGCCTCTGCCTCCCAAGTGCTGGGACTACAGGAGTATGCCACCACGCCCGGCTTAGGAAGATTTTTTTACATTTGATTGTGTGTCTCTCTCAGTAAACTACTTATTGTGAACAAAAACAATATAAACAAAAAAGGCTGGGGATGTCACTCAGTTGGTAGTGCTTGCCTAAGATATGGAAGGTGCTGGGTTCCAATCTCCCGTACCACCAGACTCTAGCATAGGGAGCACACTTGTTGCAGGAAAGATCAGGCAGGAGACCAGGAGTGTACAAGGAAGCAAGTATTTTATTATTATTATTTTAAAATTTTTATTTATTATTTTAGTCCATGTGCATGCATGTATTGCCTGCATGTACGTAAGTGCACCCTGTCGTGCAATGCCCACGGAGGTCAGAAGAGGCTGTCGGATCTCCTGGGACTGGAGTTATGGACAGTTGTTAGCTGCCATGTGGGTGCTAGGATTCGAACCTGGGTCTTCTGCAAGAACAACCGGTGTTCTTAACAGCTGAGCCATCTCTCCAGCCCCAGGAAGCAAGTTATTTTATCTAGGCTGCATCCTCAGGCTCAAGCCTCAGAATCTGCACCCTGATCGAGGGGAGTTCACACATTTTATGATTACATATTCATAAGCATTATACATATTTAAAAGCATCACAGTAAGGTTTCATTTCTTAAAATGGCTTAAAGGTTTCCAAAGAAGGGCAGGAAGTTGCAGGTACTTACCACAGCTGTCTGGATGCTAAAGATTTTAGCATAACAATTTTGTTCTAAAACCACAGTCCTATATAACTGTGCTAGTGTCCTAATCACAAACTTGTCAGCCGAACTCTACTGACCAACATAGAAGACGGATTAAAGTCCACAGTTTTCTTAAATATTCCACTTGTCCCTGCATCACTGTCATTTCAACACTTGGGAGGTAGAAGCAGAAAGATCAGAAATTCAGGGTCATCTTCAGCTATATAATGAGGTCAGCATAGGTTACCCTGTCTCAAAAAAAGATATCATTCTATATATACACGCTTTACCAAAGTTCTCAGGTTACAAACCGTGGCTTGAAAAAAATCATGTTTTTTCCTTTTCAAAAAATAAATCTGGGGCCAGCAAGATGGTCCAATGGGTCTTGCCATCACCTCTGATAACCTGAGTTCACTCCCTGGAACCCACATTGTGGAAGGAGAGAACTGACTTCTGCAAGTTGCCCTCTGACTGCATGTGCACACTCCCTTCCCTACACAGTTGTACAGATAAAATAATAAATAAATAAGTAAATAAATAAATAAATAAGTAAATAAATGTAATTTAAAACACAGATCTATGGGCTAGGGAGGTAGCTCAGTAGGTAAAGTGCTTCTTGCATAAGATCTCAGTTTAGATCCTCAGCACCCACATCAAAAGCTGGGCATAGCTGCATGAACCTATAATCTCAGAAACGGGGAACCAGAGACAGGTAGATCCCAGGGGCTCATTGGCCAGTTATTCTATGCAACTGGTGAGCTTCAGGTTCAATTAGACCCTGTCTCAAAAAATAAGGTGGAGAGGAATAGAGAGAACACCCAATGTTGACCTCTGGCCTCCACAGATCCACACACACACAGACATGTACCTCTGGCCTCCACAGATCCACACACACAGACATGTACCTCTGGCCTCCACAGACCCCCACACACAGACATGCACACCCCCACACACAAGTACATAGACATGAACACACACGCATACACACGC